TCCTTATCATGCAAACATTCATAATGACTTTAATGCTTACAAAGTATTTTTAACTGCTTTTTAATTTAAAATGTATTCTTTCCTTTTTCAGCTAGTTATATTTATTGAATAAATAATTCGTATAATTCATTAATATCAGTTTGATATATAGACCTTCAAAATTATTTAAAATATCTGTTAGATTTCACATCTTGTGTTCTTAATATTTCTATTCAATATTATCTTGTTAAATAATATTTACTTATTTCAAATGATATAAATGAAATATTATTGGATTTTTCTGTATAGGAATCACCATGAATGCCAGAACTCAATTATTCGAATTAAGTATGGAGGGCAGACAAGTGGATGAAGCAGTTGCAAGTATTTTTCATAGTGTTCTTTTTCATCGGAGTCTTGGTAAATTTAAGTACAAACAAGAAGGCAGCTATTCAGTAGGTACAGTCGGATACCAAGATGTCGACTGTGACTTTATTGATTTTACTTATGTTTGTTGTTCCTCGGTACACCTGGATCAAACTTTGAAACGCGAAATATCAGGCTTTTCTGAAGCCTTACGTTCTACCGATAGTCCAGGTTCTGGCCAGATATCCCTGGAATTCTTTCAAAAGAAGAAAAATCGTTGGCCTTTTCAACCAGAATGCATACCGTGGGAAGTATGGACTGTACGTTTGGAACTTATAAAATTAGCAACAGAGCATGAGAGACAGATATGCAGGGAAAAGGTTGGCGATCTTTTAACGGATAAGATTCTATATATAACGGAAGTAATGAATCGACACGATTATCTCCCTAAAATGCCGAACCAAGCCGAATTGGATCTGATCTTTGATACATCGTATCCAGATATTCAACCATATTTGTTTAAATTATCCTTTACAACGTCTAGTCCATCGAGTACAACAATGGGTAACACAATGAAAAAATTGATCAAAGAGACATTATCTATTTAGTTATAATAGTTTGCGAAGACTCGTTAGCGCAATGCGTTTGCAACGCGAATTATAATATTTTAAATAAAGAAGCTTAACAATCAGTGTTTAACAACCGAAGAATTTTACGTTCTCCTCGTCGAATCAAGTTTATTCTTTTTCATTTGACCGTTTTCGCATAAAACTGATTTGTATTTTGTATGTTTCTGATTCTCTCACGATTGTTAAACAAAGATTGGAGATTAAAGACTAGAGATTAAAGGCGCAAAGAACCGTGTGGTTCTTTTGCATGTTTTAACGAAACCATTTTTTGGCTTCTATCCACATTAGTTCTGTACCAAGAATGCGCATTGGAAATGAAACAACAAAATAATACCTGAAATAATTACGATTGTTTAGACACGAAAAATTGATTAATTTTTTCTGGTAGAAAGGAAACGGATGGTGTATATAATAATATAAAATAATTATGTTTTACTTTTTTATTAGAATTGTTTGTTCTGCGTAGGGGATCTGTTACTTCATCTTCCACTATTCAATTAAATGGTAAATGTTCCTCTGTTGTTTTAGAAATTCAAATTCATTCGTATTCCTTCCGTTTCTGTAAAACATTAATAACATAACAGATCTTTAGACACGATTGTTCTTATTTTTCTAAAAGTCTCGTTGTAATAATAAAAAGGTTAATTGTAGATACATATAACAGTACACGCTGTTTGTTTCAGAAACAAAAAAAACCAGCAGCAATTAATTTATTTTAGTGGATTATGCCTTCTTTGTTGTATGTATTTGAACGATTACAGTGTTACACCAGATATTGTTGATTCTTGTGGATCTAAAAATTACATTTCATCAACATTGCGACATATAGATTGAGAAAAATAATTTAAATGAGAATGTTATCTGCTACCACAATTAATGCAGTAATTGAATGACTACTGCAGATAATGAATAGTTTAATTTGTATTTACAAGATTGGAACGTGCGCGTCATTTACAATTCACACATATAAATAAGGAAAACAAGATTTGTTGTTGAATCGTATCACAACGTTTCTTATTTAATTTGATTATTAAATATTACATATTCCGTGTACCAAACAGTGAAATAAGTAAGTGAATAACAATAGTAAACTACAGTGTATGATTTGGCATATTATAGTGTAATATGATGTGATATGATATGGTATGATATGGTATGATATGGTATGATATGGTATGATAGGGTATGTTATGATTCGGTATGACATGGTATAGTATGATATGATATGGTCTGGTGTGTTAGAGGAAATTTGAACTTATGGCATTCAAAGAATTACGAATTATTTGTACGAAGACATTTGAAGTATGTAGTTTGTAAAAAGTTTTCGAAAATTTCATGCCTTCGTACAAAATTTTTATAATAGCAAAGAAATGATTAAAAACTAGTAAGTAAACTGTATAATAGCGCGTATTGAATGAAAGCGATAAAGCTGTTGTTTATTAATTCAAAGCGTATTTTGAACATTTTGCGATCACGTAACGAATGAAAGTTAGAGTAACCGAGTAAACGAATTGAGAAAAATGGAACTCGAAGGGGCTTCGGTCTTTACAGCAAGAATTTTGAACAAGTTAGAGGAGTGTATGAAATAGTATTGTAAATAGAAAAATACTTGAAAATTTTAATTATCATGAAAATAACTTATACTTCGAGACCTGTTTTTTCCTTTTTGTATGACCAATTGATTGTCAAAACTATAACAAAACATGCTTTCGTTTTTCTTTATATATTTCCTATAATGTAACTGTTAGCGATCTGTTCCAATGTTTGTTTAAATGCCTTTAACACTAGAACTACCAAGCAGTCAAATTGACTTCCTTTTATTTTTCTGGAGACATCATAAGAGTGTATTTATTGAGATTTTTATTAACATATATTTTAGTTCGCACAACATCAAATCAAGTTACTTGGTAATTTCTCTCAGAAACGCTTGTCTCTTCTCAATAATTGAAAAGGAAAAAGAAATCAAAAATACCTCATTTTGATCTATCTGGTAGCTTTAGTGTTAAATTCATCGCAGCGTTTGCATCACATCGCACCGCATTGCATCGCAACGTGTGCATCGCATCGCATCGCATCGCATCGAATCGAATATCATAATTGTAACACATAAATTTTCAGGGCAAAACAATTTTCTGAATTAATTGATTTCAAATCTGCACGGAATCGTACATGCCGTGCACTGTTATAATTCACAATAAATGCACAACTTTTGTGGAAGGTGAATCGTCCTGAAGATTATAGAATATTGTATAATGAGAATGTCATGCGACGTTGGTTGTATATCAAAATGAATGCGCATATGCAATCGGGATACGGTAATCATGAAGCCTGAGATGCGGGTCAAATTCAAGGAAACAGACGCGTTCTTCTTCACGAGTTTGATATTTTTATACGGTCATCGATTTTCCGACTGTTATTTCAACGATACACACATGCGCATCATATATATTTTTGGCGAATCGTTGCATATACTGTACGCTGTATACTATAAATTGCATATTGTATACTGCACACTGTATATACCGTATATTATATATTGAGCATTGTAGAAATTCCAATGAAAGATTTAATCAATCAATAAGAAAATAAGAAAATAAGAAAAATCAAGCAAACGCAACAAAAATTGATTCGACCACACCGTTATAAAGTGCTACCAGCTTTTCAATGAGACTGGGATTATTCAATATGAAGAGATGTGTGTGAGAAAAAAAAAGTATTCGGGAAGAAGGAAGAGTCGTGCAAATGAAGGAAAACATTTAAGTGTACAGGTGCAATGAACAATTTTTGAAACACTTGCATAAGGATGTATTTATGTTTCGATTCAAATGATTGTACATATGTTCAAAAATACACATACATAAGGCAGGTAAACACGAATAAGAAATAGTTGATAATAGAGATGCGTTGATAACAAGGTATTACGTATACATCTATATAGATAGAATAGCGACAAAAACGTTGCTTAGCTGTACAATGAGGTAATGGAAATGCTTTACACTCTATGATTTATCACGAGAATCAGGCGGATAAACGATTTAATAAATTACTTTATTTTATAATTTCGACTTCTTCCTATAGAGAAGAGGAGAATGCATATGACACGCGACGACAGAACATATACCAAATATATAAGATGATTAATCGTGAGTAAGAGGGGGAATAGACGTGACGACACGTGATACAAAGAAAAAAGAAAGCTGTGAAATATAGGGGAGCCAAGAGAAAAATATAGTCTAGACCAGGAGTGGGCACGTATGAGGTCAATGAAATAGTCGTATGTCGGTTTTTATAGATTGTCAAGAGCTACACCGTATTTTATATGTTAAATTTTATAAAAATATCTGTCACATTAAAGTTGTTGTGCAATGAAAAAAAAATATGAAATAATAAAAATAAAATCGGATTTCAATGGGAGCCGCACTTAACTTATCTAAGGGTCGCATTTGCCCACCGTTGGTCTAGACTCTAGAGTCCGGACATATGGTGTATTGTAAACGCCTGCGCGAAGGAACGGTGGCACACGACCGGTTCACTTCACCAGCGATTTTTCATTCTCAGTCGTCGATAGAAAAGGCCGGCGGTGAATGCGTTTCGTTATATTTTGTCGTTGCGTTTCGCATAATGTCGCGCGTATCTTTGCTTTCTACGTTTCCGTTTGCGCTTAACCACCCTCTTTTCGCTTGTTCGGTAAAACATTGAAGATCTACAGAAAAAAATGTTTAAAAATGTTTGAAAACGGACATATCGAGTTTCCGAGTATCGTCCGAAGAGGATTTAAGACTATTACGTGATATTCTTGTTCGACTCGAGAGTGATTACATGCATCGTTTATCGGAAATTTGCTTTTATGTACTCCCGATGCGATTCATTTTTCGAAAAAAGATTGCGTCGAATTGTGTTTTTATTATTATCATCGTCGTCTCTCCTCTTCTTCTTTATCTTCTTTGTCTCTTTTGTATGCTTTTTCCTTTTCCGGCGCGAATCACGAGACATTGAGCGATCATGACGGATGATCGAACAAAGATTTCAACAGGTGGCTTGAAATCGAATTTAACGGTTGCGCATCTTGTACGCGCGTCGCGCGCGTATATATTCTTCTGAGCGATCGATTCGTGAAATTTCAAATTTCAAATTTTACGAGTCGTACGAGATCACGAGGCAACTAGAAGAATTCTTTCGCATAGCGACTGTAGTTGACGCATTCCTGATGGAAAAAAGAGGTAGCGGACGAGTCACGAGTGCGCAGATTGGTTCTATTTCTGGAGATTGTTTTCAACCGGTTAACCTCGAGACATAGCAGATTTTCCTATTTTTAAGATAGCTCGTTCGATTCGATGGAACCAATTCGGAGGAAAAGACTAGTTAGTAGGAAAAAGGGGTAGCTTTCATGGGATGCGCGAGACGAGAGACGATCGCGTTGCGTCGCGTCGCGTCGCGTCGCGTCCCACGATCAGTTTCGGCGCGCGTCTTCCGTCTATTCGTTTTCCTGAAATCAAGACAGTCGCAAAAATGTAATTTGCGCTCACAGTTTGTCAACGACAAAGCATGCGAGGAAGAATGATCAATCGTTTCCTGTAAAAAACGAAAACGAAAACGATATAAATCAACAATGAACGCGATGGCAAATGTGTATGAGGAGACAAACTGGAACGAGGGTAATTCGAGTCGTTCAAGCGTCGAGGGCGACGTGATATCCAACCCTATGGTGCAAATTATTTTTTCTATTCTTTACGCGAGCATCTTTATTTCGGGAGTGTTCGGTAACGCGTTAGTGTGTTTCGTGGTAGCGCGAAGTCGTCAAATGCAGACCGTAACGAATCTATTCATCACAAATTTAGCACTGAGTGACGTGTTACTCTGTGTTCTTGCGGTACCGTTCACGCCTCTTTACACGTTTCTTGGCAGTTGGGTATTCGGCAGAACCCTTTGTCATTTGGTCCCGTACGCTCAAGGTGTCAGCGTGTACACGAGCACACTGACCTTGACAAGTATCGCGATCGACAGATTCATGGTAATCATATACCCGTTGCAGCCTCGTATGAAAATCGAAGTTTGTCTAGCCGTGATCTTTGGCATTTGGACAGTGGCTCTGCTGGTCACTCTGCCGTACGGGCTTTACATGCACCTGGAAGAACCGCACACATATTGCGAAGAGCACTGGCCGAGCGAAAGATTTCGCAAAATCTTTAGCTCCGTTACTTCGATGCTTCAATTCCTCTTACCCTTCTTAGTGATCGCTTTTTGTTATACTCGTGTTTCGATCAAACTAAGGGATCGAGCCAGATCGAAACCCGGTGCCAAATCCGATAAGAAAGAGAAAGCTGACAGAGAAAGAAAGAAACGAACGAATCGAATGTTGATAGCCATGGTCACAATATTCGGTATTTCTTGGTTACCGCTGAACATTGTCAACGTCGTCGACGACTTTTATTCACTGGCCGACGATTGGACCTACTACAGACTTTGCTTTTTTATGACGCATTGTCTTGCAATGAGCAGCACCTGCTACAATCCGTTTCTTTACGCTTGGCTCAACGATAACTTTCGCAAAGAGTTTAAACAAGTACGAACTTATCGTCGTCGGACCATCGGTTGCACTTTTTCATTTCAATTACAATTTCTTAGTTCTTCTCGCAAATCTCTCTCTTACTTTTCTTCCCTTTCCTTTCCCTTTCTATTTTTTTCTTTTCCTTCTTCTTCTTCCTCTTCTTCTTCTTCCTCTTCTTCTTCTTCTCTTCCACCTTTCATACTTCCTTCTTTTCCTTTTTCCTTTCATCGTTTCACGTTTTGCATCTGCATCTCAACAGAAAATGTATCGCAAGTTTCATTTATCATCATTGTTTCTAAGGTACTTCCATTTTTTCCGAGAACCGTTGACGGGCACAGTCCAAGAAGCGCCGAAGGATTTGGGAACGATAAAACCTGTAATGGTAACAACACCTTTCAGGAATCGTTGCTAACGAGTCAGACTCGAAGCAAAGAACCCATTCAGGAGGGCTGCGAATTAATCATTTTCGGTGAAATCGCTACTAACGTATCCAGAGAGTTCGAAGAAGAAACTGTGACACCCTGTTGAATACAGGCAATATAATTTTTCGGTAAGCGATGCCGTTCTTTCTCTCTAATTTTGCCCTATACACCGATGCTATCTATGTACGCTACAGTATTCTATTCGATACAGTACCCTTTTGATACGCACTTTTCAATTTTTCATTCTGTTTTATCATTCCTCTTTCTTTAGTTATTCCATGTCTTGCATAGCTTCAGTTTTCATTTCATTCCTTTCCTTTTATATAAATAAATACATGTACCTACACGTGTTTGTACATAAATTAACGGGAGGAATACATTTACAATATTTTTTTCCGTTAAAACAGCCTGTTCTTATCGGTTCGAGTAAACTGTAAGGGTATCCCTTCTCAAAACCGATTATGTTATCTGTTAGTTGTTGGTCGATGGACTTTCGGTGGAGGTGTTGGAGATACAAAAATTGCCTCGTGTTGTCACCAACAGATTACGAACCTCAAGTTTTTTATTTAGTTTCAACGACAAAAATCATGGTAATCGGCAAGCAGAAGCTTATCAGAACCGATTATTCTTATGTGAGGCACGGTTTAATCGATAGAATCGTTTTCTTGATTGACTCAAAATGACGCGAATGTCGATTCGGGGATGAACTGCGAATCATTTTATATATTCCATATTTTGTATAAAATAAAAGAGTAAATGCTAATGTTAGGCTTACTAATTGTAAGTAAACAAAAGGATATTTTCTCCCGCAACAATTTTATTTTGCACGAGGCGCACTGTCACCAGAAAGACTAAAATAACATACCGTTATTCTTAAAGTATTGTTTAAATCGTGATCGACTGTTCATCCGTTTCGAATATCTTTTTAACGGTCCCTGCTGCTTTGTCGTCCGCACCAATTATTTACATCTACATAATGCGTAGTACGCATACGTATATATGCAATACGCGTACATACTACGGTACATGTATGTATATGCATATCTATGCATGTACATTATTATTAGCTTGTTGAGTTGCTTTCACTGACATCACGTTTTATGTCCATTATCGTCCACTATCGTACGCTATCATCCTTTATCGCCGTTTGCACTTTAACATTGTGCCATTTCACGATCCTGTCCTAAAACTGTTTTTTGTCTACCTTTCAGCCACTTCGTTGTTGCTTCGCTTCATTCCGATATCGCCAAAATAGGACAACTCGATATTGATTGGAAATAATGTACACACTATTTATTTATCATGAAAATTTATGTCTTCTGTGATAGAAATGATTGACGCTAAATAAACGTCAAAATTATTTTTGTTATTAC